AAACTTCTTTCAGATTATATTTAAAGATTTTCATTTTTTTCTCTATTTTAATATAATTATTGAAATAATTTATGTTTTAACATAATTATCGTCTTATTGGAGATGAAAGGTTAGATGAGTTCTTTACAAAAATAACCATTTAAGAATAATAAATTACACTTTTAACCCAATTATTAAAAAAAAAATTCCAAATAACCTTGGGTTACCCTATTAACATCGTTAAGTGCGTAAAGATACCCTTTCCTTTTCAATGCTTTCTATAAATTATATGAATTCATTGGCATGTGTTGTCGTTTCCATTATCTCTAATTTTCAACCACTTTGACAATAAACTTATTTTATTTACTTTTTCTTGTTCAACTTTAATTAATTATTCCTGTGAAACACAAAATATGTATAATCATGTGAGAAAGAGAGTTAATATAATAAGTATATAAAAAGCCTTGAGTTTTTGATCACTTTTAACTTCAAACTCGTCTATAAATCATGTTTGATACGGGGATTGATCCAGTACATCTTATCCTAATTAATGTGTATCCAAAGATGAAGATCCGTTTTTACACTTCTCATGTTAACTCTCTTTCTCACCGGAACCTAACCATATACAAAACCAAATTAATCTATTTCTTGTACATACATACATACATACATACATATAGGGTTGAGTTCACGTGAGATCATCGTTTTACACTTAAAACTTCAAAACAAAACGCTGTGAAGGTAAAAAAAACTGTACTTTCACAGCAAAAACGCTGTGAAAACAAAAACACTGTGAATGACACCTTCACGACGTTTTACTGTGAAGTTTCAAGTGTAAAAAAGTGGTCACATAGGTCTCACGAAAACAGGTTGATCTCATATATATATATATATATATATATATATATATAGAGAGAGAGAGAGAGAGAGAAAGAGACTTGGGATCACGTGAGACCAATGGTGCGTTTGGTGCGCAGACAGGACTGGACGGGACGGGACATGACAGGACATGACAGTTGTTCAGCATTTGGTAAGACAGGACAGGACGAGACAGAACTGGTTAAAATGACCAATTTACCCCCGTGAGCTGTTTAGTGTTTTTTCACTACGAAATCAAGTAAACTCTCATAATCAATTCAACAATCATAATCAATGTAAACCAATTCATCAACAGCAACATCAGCAATCATAATAAATGTAAACTCTCAGAAATAATCAATCCCTAATAAGTACTTCGATTAATCAAGTTGTTGGCGAAATCGAGTACGAAACTACCATCAAACAAGCTGGTAAAAATGTAGTTGCTGTAATCCTCTTAGCATAAACCCTAATTAACGAGCTTTTGCATCTAAATCGATTCAAACCTAGCAAACCCTAAATCGATTCAAACATAGCGATGGAGAAGGAGAAAGTTAGGGCAATCATGTACCTGATGAAGGAGAAGGTAATGCGATGGAGGCGGACTGTGTGTATGGACTAGAACTCCCGTCGCCGTCGAGATGGCGATGGAGGGTGCGATGGAGGGTGTCGTCGCCGATTGAGGGTGTGCGATGGAGGCAGTCTGAGCATGGAGGAGCGATAGGGAAGGACACACGATGAGTGAGGAGGGTAGATTAGTCGCAGATCAGGACGGCGCGTGTCGAAATCCATGGACGGGGAAGGAACCGGGCGTTGAGACTAGACGACGGTTGTCGGAGAACGGAGATCGGCGCATCTCCGGGAGACGAGATTGAGAGGTTATGTGAGAGGAGAGATGGAGGAGAGGAGAGATCGATGGAGGGACGCTGTGAAGGGGATGAAGGAGACAGTGGAAGGGATTGAGGGTAAAGTGGTAAAAAATTCCTTGTTCTAGTTAGTTCCAGGGGTAAAGGGTGGACTCCCGTGTCCCACCTTTGTTCTAGTTAGTTCTAGCTAGTCCCACATAAAGTCATACCAAACATAGGACAATTGTGTTATGTTCTGTCCTGTTCCACCCTGTTCCACGTACCAAACACACCCCAAGGGTTTTTCGTGAGACTCGTAAGACCAATTTATGTTCATTGATCAACTTTATAAGCTAATGATCTAATGGTCTAAGATTGCATGGTGACAATTTTGTGATTATTGAGAAGTCTCGTGGCAATTTTGTGATTATGAATATTCAAATTGTAGATCTAATCTAAAGATTGAGAATTGGTCTTACAGATCTCACGAAAAACTTTTGATCGAAGTCTATAACTTAATATTTATCATTATTAAATAATTAACATCTGAAGGTTTATAATTTGGAGCGCCCACTTCGTCTGACTCTCTGGCTCCCTTCCACGCGATCTACGTATGACTTCCGTTATTTCCTCTATAAATAAAATAACCTATCTGCCTTTGTTCTAACTCTTAGTATCAGTCAACACCCCTTGGGAATTACAATGCCTCCGTCACCCTCCTCCACCAGTCTCCAGGTCGAATCCGTCGTCTTTCCACCGTCCGTCAACCCTCCCGCTACAACCACCACTTTGTTCCTAGCAGGCGCAGGTATATATATTTCCGCATTCAGACGTTTGATTCATTTGTATTGTATCTGAATCCTGTTTCTATGATGTATGCATGCGCAAGGTGTGAGAGGCATGGAAATCCAAGGCAAGTTCGTCAAGCTTTCGGGAATTGGCATCTACTTAGAGGATAAAGCCATTTCGTCACTGGCTGATAAGTGGAAGGGCAAAACCGCTGCTGAGTTGGCAGATTCCGTCGAGTTCTACAGCGACATCATTACTGGTAAGCTTCAACTGATTAATCAACTCATGAAGCATATACAAATTCCAAGAAATCCCTTATTTTGGTACGTTGTTAAGCTTGTGATTAAGATGGATTTGTAAAGGAAAATCAGCCTTTGCCTGTTTGATTGTTGAAGAGTTAGGAGGCGTTTGGGATTGCTTATATGAAACAATTTTTCTTATAAAAGCATTTGTCTAATTTATTATAAGGCATAAAAGTTTAACTTCTTCAAAAACTTCTTATTATCGGTTTGTCACTGATATAAATTATTTATTCAAACAGTCAAAAGTGTTTATTACCGATATCACACCGGAATAAGTCAATAAATTGTTTTGATAAGTAATCCCAAACACCCATTATTTGATGAATAAAATATATATTTTTTTCAAACGTAATTGTTTTTTATATTTAAAATAAAAATATCTGTTGTTTGAAAATGAGATGGAAAAGGACGGTTTTTAAAAATTAATTGACATTTAAAAAGGAAAAAATATCATGAAAAATAATAAAATTAAAATGGGAGAAAAATTAAAAAAAAATACTGTCTTTATTTAATGATAGTAAAAAATTAATATTTTCAAAAAAATTAAAATCAATGCTTTGGACAGGCATCGAACATAAAATTAAAACATAAAAAGTTAAAATTTTATTTGAAATAAGATTCAAACTCATAACGTTTATTTTTTGTTATAAATTTAGTTGAAGTATTTAAGATCATCCTTCAAAATCAATCAGGTGCGTCTTTTAGACGTCTAATTATTTTTTCTCTTTCAATAATCAAGTGAATGGGTGCAGGAAGTTTGATCCCCTCTTATTAAGTCTGACCCTGGACTAGTAAAAATCACAAACCCATATTGCATATGCGGTCTGAGCTTGTTTTCAAGCCAGCTAGATGTGATTCGTGAAAAGTGGCAATAAAAAGTTTTATAATAACCACAAGAGTGGTGTTTGATTGGTTTGAACTTGACTCCAAAGTCAAAAGTGTCAGGAGGTTCCTGATTCAAATCAAAGGAGGAACAAAAATCCTCTTATAGTCACGGAGGTTCAAATGTGGTGACTCTGGGCTATGTGTAAAACAGTGATCGCTCTGGGATTAGTCGGCTCGCATAGCGGGTTGGATATATATGTTAATAAAAAAAAGTTCTATAATCCATATAATACAAAAATTGCATAGTCCATGTTTATGCATCATGTACCAAATTGAATAATTCTAATTTGATATGAGATTTAGATAAAAAGGCTAAATATCGTGAAAACTATAATTTGAATCATTGAAAAATTTCATCTAAAGATGCATATTTAAAATAATATGAATAATTTATAAAGTTGGTTCACATATGCATCTTTAAATAGAATTCTTTAAAAAATTTCAATTATTCACATATGAATACTTATTTCTTACGAACTTGTTATATTTAGTTTTGTTATTTGAATCGACCCTTTCTAATTTATATATTTTTAATGGGAAAAGTCAAAAAAAACCCAATGGACTTTAGTGTATGGAATGATTAAGTCATTGGACAATTTTTTGGAAAAAATAAGTCCTTGGACATTCCAAAATATGTTATATAACTCCTTGGACAATTTTTTGGAACAAATAAGTCATTGAACATTTCAAAATATGTTAAATAACTCCTTAAACAATTTAAAACATGTTAAATAATTCATTGGACAATTTTTTGGAATAAATAAGTCTTTGAACAATCCAAAACATGTTAAATAACTCATTGGACTTTTTTAAAACATGTTGAATACATTCTTATGACTTGTACAACTAGTTAATGTGGTAAAATAGTGAAAAAAAGTCCAAAAAAAACCCAATGAACATTCATATTTTGAACGATTAA